AACACAACGTCCTTGTCTGTATGTTGCTGCCCAATAAAATAAATTAATTAAGTGAAATAAAGTGAAAATAACACTACTGTGACTCAATGGTGTATTTTCAAACAACTTCGTAGATTTCTGAAGCTCACCATTGCAGGGATGTTGACTGTCCTGATGAGGTCACTCTCTGGACCTCGGGACATGTTAAGCTGGAATATGTAAGTCTTAGTGTTGACAGCTGTTACTTTAGTGCCATTATCTTGGAAGTTTACTTGCTCCATAGGCCGGTACTCTCTATGTAGAAAAAAACAGAAGAACTGGGTTAAGGTTGAAAGAAGTTAGTTGTGTGATAGTTCCTCAAAAAAAAATCTTAAAAATGTTTGTTCGGGATGGCCTTATATCGCTATTTTTCTAGATATAGTATCAAGCCCCATTCACAACAATAACAAAATGTTGCATTAGCAACATATAATACACAAAATTAGGAATGGTATGATTCATCACCTTTTACAACAAACAAGGATCTCACATTAACTATACATGCAGTATCAGCACCTCAGACTGCAGAGAATTGGAAGTTCTGTATTAAAAATCATAAACATATATGTATATATACACATTTTTTCAGCATAAATGTAAAAAGTTCAGAAGTGAGTAATAATGGCTGCATGAGGTGACTAAAACTGGCAGAGTTTAACTGATCAGTGGTTCAGAGTAGAACATGTGTTACTGTTGCTCAATGCCAAAAAAACATAAGAAACCCATCTCAGGTGTGTGGTACGAAATCTACCAAAGTTGGGTTTATACAATAATATGAACTTCAAGATTCTACACACATGTAAATGACCGACAGGGGTATTTTAACTATTGGATTGGCAAATGAAAACTTGTGCCACTGTTACAATATGTTAGGGACCTGCCTGCTGGCACAGTAGAATTCTTATTGGCAGATAAGAGGGAGGTAAAAATAGACGTAACTCAGTGATGCAGTTCTTATTTCTCAGCGAGACAAACTGGCAGCTGTACAAAGCTACTGTGTCTGTCATTGCTGAGAGTGAAGAGGCAAGCTGCCTCAAGCTAGCCAGAGACAGGGCAGCACTATGATCTCTCTGCTTCTGCATTCTGTCTTTTTTGAAAAGACAATACTTTAGTGATGGCAGAAACATATTGTCCCCTATTTACAGTATATACTTTATCTTACTGCAAAATGGAACAAAATGCAAAAAAACATTCTGAGTGATACCATTTGCACTGTTGGGTCCTGTTTTTCCTCTTGTTTCAGTTAACCCTAACCCTAACCTAGTCATCAGCTTTGTGGCACCTTTATACATTAAGTGATGACAGAAAATGTTTCCATAGCAAGTCGTTCTCCTATTCCTCTCTCACCTATATGTATATGGTCCAATCTCCACCACCGCGGGCCTGTCCCCATCCAGCACCTCCAGGGGATTGGTCAGATTAAAGAAGTAAAACTGCATGTAAATCGGGGCTGGTGGATTCTCCCAGGCCTCAAACGCCTCTGTGCCATTCTCCAAAACTATTTCCTATGTGGGACAAGGGGCAGTGGGTTACTTGTCCTGCAGAGTTGAGAAAAACGACTTCAGACAAACAGTTAGTCTGCTGCTGACTAATCTATCATGGAATCATGTGACAAAATCAGCCGCTGCACAAATCTGCTGAATGTGGTGAAATCCTCGGGTTACATACAAGGACATATAATTTTTTTCACATTAAACTAACGTTAGGCTAATTAGCTGAGGACATCACGAAGCAGGGAGAGAGAGATATTTCATCCCCAGCAGCTAAAAGTATACATTAGCTCATTAAAATGACTAAATAATTGTCCATGTCTGTATCGGCAGCACCATTCACAACATGTCTAATTTAGTGAGTCGGTTGAAATAATATTCCCAAATGTGACTCATTAGTATAACATTCACCTTCACCTTCGTCAGCTAAAGGCCTTAACGTTACTTAAAGCTGTCCAGCAAACATTTTCATTATTAAACTCAGCGGCGAAATCCAAACAACTTTGCTGTTTTGTCAAAGCACGCTAGCTGACATTTACTGTCACCAATACAGTTTATGGTCTAACGTTAGATTATTAGCGACCAATACAGTTTATGGTCTAACGTTAGCTTATTAGCGACCAATACAGTTTATGGTCTAACGTTATTAGCTACCAGCTAACGCTAGCTATTGTAAAACATTAGGCTGAATAAGAATGCTCACCTTTTTAACCTCTGACTGTACGAAATGTGGAAACACATTAGACAACACCAAAGAAATACCCGCGATCAAAGTCAGCATGGAAAAAAGTCCGACACTGTAAATACAACAGGATTTTAGTTGCATGATGAAACAGCAGCCTGATATCTGATAATTTATTAATCTGATAATTTATTAATCTGATAACAGCAGTTGTGGCATTAGCTACTGTGTCTACGCTGTGTTTGTTTTGTTTTCATCGACCAGGAACTTGCTCGACGGCACAAAGACACACATCCGGAATGAAATAGTGGCATACAAACACTTCCGCTTTCCCTCGAGAGTCGACGGCTTCCTGGAGCATGCAGCCGTGACGAATACACCACAGTGATATATTTAGAGTAGCCAAATTAGTGTAAGTTGTAATTTATTATGCTAAAATGTGACTGTGCTCTAACGCTCACCAGATGTGGGCAGAATAATATTTTTCCACATTAGCTGGACGTTGAAGGTCAAATGCAGGGAAAATATCTGTCTTGCAGATAACAACTCTTTGTTTTAATCACATGGGCGTAACGTCATTAATGAAACAGCCCTTTGTGGACCATTTTGTTACAAACAGACACTATTGATTTGAGTATACTGTGTAGTTATGTAGTATTTACGTGTGAGATACATCACTGGCTTTAATTCATTTGTCGATGTACTAAAGTAAACATAAGGCAAAAGCTGAGCTACAATGCTTGCATGTTTGCTGGAAGTCTGTTGGAGAATATTTAACATAAAAACATAAAACTTGGGTAGAATTAAATATTTCATTCAACAACATAACATCTGAGCTTTAATATGTGGCAGGTTAACAAAGTCCAACAGTATGAATGTTAGCATGTTTTAACCCTGAAAGGCCTTTCAGGTGGTCGCATAAAATTGAAAATCCTATAACACATCTTTTTCATACTCCTTTGCATATTTAAACAATGGTGGTGATATATATTACATAATCCTATTCACCTTTAGTGTCTTGAAAGATGTGTGGAATTTCACAACACATTTAAAATCTGTTTAATCAAAATTAGTTTTGGGTTTTTTTTCTTTATCACACTATTAACCAGAAATTTCCAGTAGCACAAACATTCCAGTTTTATTCCCGTCAAATATTCTGAAGGTTTTTACAGAGGGGTTTGTTCAGAAATCATTCATTTAAAATAATATATATAATATATATATAAACAAAACATTTTTTATGGCTGTTGATACCTATTTTCTGATTTATGGAGTGATAAAAAGAAATATCCAAAATTCCCTCTGTAAAACCCTTGAGGCTAATAAGTCAACAAGATGAATCAAGAATTGTGAACCATCAGTTTTGCTTAGAGTTCTTAATAACCATGCACCTAGAATGAGGTATTTTGTCACTTACAATAAGTGAAGCGTGTGTGCTATGCATGCATGCACTACATATTTCAACATAAACAGGAGTATACCAAGTCAAATGTTTTCTCACATATGCAAAAAAGCCCATGTTTCTATGGTTTGTGTGGAGCTAAACAGTTTTATTACATACTTTTTATTTGGCTATTAAATATAGCATTCATATTGCAGACCAATAATGTATTAAATAACCCCTCCACTAGATGTCACTGTCTTAACATGTAGTAAGACCTCATGCCACTGCCTACATTCTTTGTTGAACTATAAATGGGCGTCATGGCACTTGTTGAGTCAAAATTTCATATAAAAGGGGGCCACGCCTTGGCGAAGCACACTAACCATTAAGCAGGCGTGTGTTTCTCTGCCTCACACTTTTACTTTTTCTGATAGTTTACACAGAAATGACCAAATGACATAATTTCAAAGATAGGCATAGGCCTACAGCTCATACTCATTTTGGAAATAGTAGTCTACTTTCAGATCTGCTAGGGCAATCTGAGCAGATCATCATAGACTGTGTGATACTGAACATTTGCTTTGAATGGATGGTTTTGGCATTATGACAGACACACAGACAGTGAGGCAGCCTTGGTATTCCATCTTAACAAATAGCATTAACATTACAAGGTTACAGCTCAGACACGTTCTTACCTGCGTTAATGTGTTTCATCGCAGTGCTGTTGCAACATAGACCCATTTCATCAGCATGACTTCTCTGACTGGCTATTTCTCAACCATAGAGATGATACACACTGATTTACACTTGAAGACCAGTGAACACATTATGCCAAGCCTAATACAAACCCCGTAAAGACAATTGAGAAATGTGTTCCTTGGATCTGGAGGAGCTTTGTGAAGTCTAAGGTGCAATATGGGAAAAGTATAATCCAACTTTTTGGAGCTTGGCTCATAAGGAACAAACATCAGAATATATTGCCCCCTGCTGCATTAGGTTTTTTTTTAATTCTGTCTCTTGTAATGCTATGCTTGAATACCACTTTATGCAAATACAACCATTCACTCAGTTTAAATTGAAAACACATTAAATGTTTTGAAATATGTCATAGTTGTATTAGAACTTCTTCAACTCACCACTCGCCAGTTATTTGGGGGTGGGGGTGGGGGGGGGGGTGTTCAGGAGTGGCCCTGTGGTGAATTAACAAAAGGGTATGTCAGTAAAAGAGTAAAATGGATTCTATTCTATTATAATTTATTCTATTCTAGCTGTGTGAGTGTGTTTTTGAGGGAAATACCCATGTAACCAGAACATGAATGGGAATGGGGCACACTGGAGAACACAAGAGGGCTCGCTCGCCGCGGTCACGAGAGCATTGGGAGAGTGACGTCACTTTCCTAAACCGGGCAACAGCAGTTGAGCTGAGTCCCGAGCGAGAGGCAGGCAGTAGTCGGCGAGGAGCTCAACTTTTAATGTATGCGGGCCGAGTCGGGCCAGTGTGTCGGCGCGCACTGCTTTCTCCTCCTTTATGCATCCTCCTGTTCGACTTGGCTCAACAACTGCTTGCTGGTTTCTCACCGGCTCGGTAGCTAAAGCTGTTTTTGGCACAAAAAGCGGTTTTGTGTCAGTTTCTTTTATGTTGTCCAGCCCTCCTGCGACTCCCAGCACGTAACAGGGTGAGTGTGTCCAGCAATTTCATATCATGTAAGTAGTTGTTGGTGGGAATTATGGCTGGTCATTTTGACAAATAGCCTCAGAAGTAACTGTTTGTAAGCCTCAGTGGCAAATGAAACTGCTTGTATGTACGGCAAAGCGTCCAATCTGATATTCAGGGGTTTCATGATAGGCGTCGCGCGCATTTGATGTGCTGAACGAGTTTTACTCATGTTTGTGCATGCATTCATGCATAACTTCCATTTTCTAAAGGAGCAGTATACACATATGCATAGCTAGCTGTTAAAAAACCGTGCACTGAACTGTTTGTTGGTAGCAGTTGACTTAATTTGTGCTTTAACAGTGGATTCAGTAAGTGAAGTTTGCTGTCCCAACAGTGAGACAACAGATTTATATGATATCTCTGTTCATTTTTCTGATACCTGTAGAGATTTTCACATTCCACTACCACTTCATAATTGTTTTTTGGATCTGATTTGCCTTTGATAGACTGTTGATATTCTACAGCAAGTCACATCAGGGGTCCCCAGAAAATAAATATTCTCCTTATGAATGTTGTAGGCAATTATTGGCGAATGATCTGAATGGCTTGAATGTTGCCAGAGGACCCCAGACATGGCTGTCCTTGATGCACCCACATACAGCACACCCTCTCTAACACACCACTATTTGCCCATGTAAACAGTTAAAAACTCTTTGAAATCTGAACAACTCTTCCTAACAACCTATTATGAATACATAGTATAAACTATTATTCCTTCAGGAACTGCCAGTAATCATTGCAAAGAGGCTCAGCTTGCTTACATGGTGCTCCTGGTATACACAGAAGACCCTGGAAATATTAATAATAAAGTAAGTAGACTTATTTTGACTGGAATGCTCACAAGGGTATTTAGGGAGTAAATCACTGACAAGGTCATTTCAGGAATGGAAAAACTGGAAATCGTCAGAGACAGTTAAGGCACAAAAATACAGTCACCAGAAATCCCCAAGGGTTCTGTGGTGATTTAAAACATCCTTATAGGAAACAATACAATTCCGGATACCATTTCCAGGTTTAAATTAGAATCACATGTGGTATGCAAAGTTCATTCCCAAAACTACCAATTAATTGGAGAGGGACTGATACTAGAAGTCATGATGATGATGAGGCTTTGATAAGCAGCATCTTTTAGTTTTTATAAGGAAAATGTAGATTTACTATGGCTATAGACTATTGCCACTGTAAATACCTGCTGCTGCACTGGTTATTTACGCCTCATTGATTGTAACGTGTGTGGGGAGACACAAAATACCTGAAGAGTCAGGTAGTTTTGTCTTCTCCGAAGCACTAAATCAAATTTGAAATGAAAGCAAACGTCACTGATGCCGAGTTTAAACATCTGTGTTCTTTTCTTCACAGCCTTGACTGAGTGATTGAGTGAGTGACTGCATGGACCGGACTGAACATGAAGAGCCTTAAAGCCAAGTTTAGAAAAACTGATGTAAGTACTGCAACATATGTTCCTGGCTATGTAATGTGTGTGTGTGTGTGTGTGTGTGTGTGTGTGTGTGTGTGTGTATGCCTCCATGGCTGAGTCAGTGTCTGTGTATGTATGGCTGTAGCAGTCGGGGATGATTTCTGATAGGTTTCTTCAACCTCGGGGTCAGCAGCACCCCGTGGCTTGTTCATATTTTGCAATTCAAGAATTTTTTTGAATTCTTGAAGATTTTTGAAAAATATAATAAATAGGTTTGAATCATGATGTCGGTGTAATCCATTTAGAGCTTCCCCAATGCCCTTTTCAACTGAAGGAGTATGCCATGGACCATTTTACATGACAACTTGTCAGCTGTAATTGCGGGTGTCATGAGATCTTCAGGACCTAAAAACAGGATCGTGAGGTTCAGAAACCATGATTTATGGTGTTAGCGATATGACACAGACTTTTATTCAGACATGTTGAGTCAATTTGGAAGGTTTCTGTAGAGTATTATGCACTTTTTTTTATTATTATCACTCCTACATAGACCACAAATGTCTTCAGAGACTCTGCGTCGCTCCTGATCGTGGTTTGATCTTGCTGACTATGAATCAGTCTTTAGGGAGGAATTTTTTTATGGCTGTTCAGTCATTCATTCATTCGGTCTAAGATACTCTACACTCAGGAAGTGAGGCTCTCCACAGCGTCTGACTCATCTGTTGTCACAGTGACCGTAATGACACAGAGCCAGACGCCAGACAGGAAAAATCTGGAGGGTTGCTGGATGAATGGGATAAGTTTTAGGGGATGGAGGGAGTGTCCAAAGTAGAGAAGTTGGCGAGTGGAGAGAAGAATGCCAATTATATGAGACACTTGGTTTATGTAGACAGTTTCCATGAGATTAAGTGTGTGTGGCAGGGCGGGATGATGATCTTTGGTTAAATGCCATGCTCTGTTGAGAAAGAAACTGTACTGCGGAGGAAGAATTAGGTGGAGTACATCCCTGATTTTACTCAATTATAGCCACAAGATACTGCAAGGCATAACTACTGCATGGATTGTAGAGAGCAAAATCAAATCATCAGGAACCCACCTGTATCTCATATTGAAGAACTTTTAAATGTAAAGTTAAAACCGTTCATAAGGAATACAGACGCAAATTGATGTAAATAGAAAATTGAAAAACAACCAATTCTTCCTAGTGTTGATTTAATCACTGCACTTTTACATGGCCCCACTGTGTAATATTAGTAAATTATTGCAAATAATGTCAGCTGTGTGGGGGAGTACAATAGTGTCCATTGTTCTAGAAAATTTTGAGGCGAGCACTGGGCTGCAAGGTCACAATAGTCCCACCCATAGTGCGTAAAATGGTAGTGGCTGTCTCACCTTTACTGGGTGTTCTCCAGTCAAAACCCGCACTGTTACAGTAAGAGATGTGAATTGTGTGAGATAGATGCTTTTGGAGTGAAATGCACGTCCTCACTGAAATAGCCAGTCGTAGGCGGCATGAGAGAAGAAAGGGAAGAGCAGTGGATGGTGAATGTTGCTTAGAAACACGACTGAAGCCACTTGCAGTCATGCATGCCTTTGTAGACCTCACACCCACATACAGTGTCACACTTTGATCGCTTGGATGTCTGAAAATCTTCCAGTTTTTTTTGTTTTTTTTTTTAATTGTAGTAAATTGTATAAAATTTGGGAAACGAAACAACAGAACTGTGGTGCTGCACTTGTCACAGACTGCTGACAGCAGTTTGGACTGATGTACCAACTCTTGCACTCACACACATCAGTAATGATGCATTATTGTTTTGCTGTAGAGAATTACATAGTTGAATAACTGATCTGACTGCAAAAGCATGTTTATTTCTGTGTATTTTGTGTTTCCTGCAAAGCCCTGCCTGTTGTCCACCTCAATACCCTTAGTGTGTGTCACGCTGTGTGTATTGATTATGTACTATAATCAGAAAACAGTGTATTTCAAAAAGCCTATTAGATATATAATTTACACATTACAGTAAAATAATACACTCTTTTAATTATAAGAAAGATCCACTGATGTACTTTTAAAGACAAGGTATGTGTAATCCCTTCTTTTTTTTTATGCACAGGAATCCTGGGTTAAAGAGTGCCAGCACTGTATTGCCCACATGGTGATTAAAATTAGTGTTCATGATTAATATATGCAGAGAAAAAACATTTCATAGGCCAACATGTTTATCCTCTGAGCCAGTAGTCATTCCATTGTTTTTTATAGTAACCCAGAACAACCGTAATAGAAAGAAAATATCTCCTTGGTTCTATTTTAGGCTGTGTGTGTCAGTGACGGATTACCCAGGAATGTCCCCCCCCCCCCATTTTTTAAACAAAATAACAGAAACTTAATGCCTCTGTAAATAGCTTTTCTATGAAGTCAAGATATTTCCAGATAATGTGTAATGGAATCTGTGTTTTAAGTGTCAACTCTTTACTGAATGCTTAATGTTGAGGATCCTCCTCCAACTGAATGCATCAGGCTGCCAAACCTTTACTGAAACACCTCCACAACTTGAGGCCTAAATAAGGTAGAAATGTTAAAAATGGGACTGGAGGAGAAAATAAGATGTATTATAATACTGTAATATAACACAGGCAGTATAAGGGCTAAATGTTGATCTGGATGAAATGGGCTTATAATAATACCTTGATTGTATCATTTTCAAATTCCTGGCTGGCTAATGTTTTTAAGAGGTGTTTTTGTTTCTCTACTCTTTAAAGACCACAACATAATTCTAACACATATACAAATCTTCATCAACCAGATCTACCCCTTTAAAAACAGCAGTATAAGAAAATAATCCACGTGTTTGTCCACGTCATAGATAGATACTGTGGATGGCTTGCTAGCTTGCTGACAGGACTGGGGCATTGTTTGTTTGACATTGCACAGAAAAAGATAACTAAGGCTTTTTCACAGCAGACCTTTTGACTTGTCATAGCAGGGAAAGCACAGGTCTTACTTAAAACATTAACAATGGCTTTGTGTCATAGTAAGCAATGACAGTGAGCCATCAAGCACGTACGAGACTGTGCAGAAAAACTGAGCTCACTTTTAAATTCTATTGCACATCATGAATTTTCCTAATGAAAAATATTTAATGCTGAACTGTAGGAAATGTGTAACTAATTATGTACAAGACACCTAAAACCTTCTATTTGATGTAGTAAAACAGCCATAAATTATATATTGTGGTTGGAATATTAAACTTAATATACAGTAAGGGTGAGAGTTACTAATAGGGAGCTAAAGAACATGCATACAACACCAGGTTGTCCTTTTATACCATTAGCTAACAAAAGTCAAGTTTATTGTGTAAAAGTGTTTTATCTGACTTTATAGGCACACAGAGTATTTACTGTAAGGTTAGGAGGTAAATTTAGCTTTCCCCACACTATACTTTATGTCATGAGGTGATCTATTATTGATAAGACTACTGTACTAGATTGTATCAGAAGCTCGCAGCTTCAGAAGTTTAGCAAACACAATGTCTGAGAGCAACCACCAGCAATGAAAGAACTGCCCATCCCTCCTTTGCATCTACCAGCAACAACAGTGTATAGTACAAAACACGTGTGTGATCACATCCCGACTCCACACAGAGCTTTGGGATCTTTGTGTTTGAAGCCATGGCGCTCATATCGACAAGTGGCAAAGAGGCATGATGACAAACAGTGGGGAATAAGTTTTTAGGGGGGACAGAGGTGTGCTAGCCTCTCATCCCACTGTTAGACATTGTTGCAGCTGCCTATGAAGCCTGGGTTGCTCTGCTCTGGGCTGCGAAGCGTTGGAGGGGCGTCTTCGAGAAGACTAGTCAAAACGAGAGGGGCCGCAGTCTTAGCGCCAGGGAAACCAAGCCCAACGCGGGATGAGGTTTTGAAGGGCAACCAGCTCCTTCTGTTGCGGTACAATTTTCATTTGTTATAGACTGCAGCTTTAACTTTGACTGACAGTCTGGCTTCTTACCAAACTGCTACATGAAAGGAGGCTTTTTGATACCAAAGATGTGAAGGTCAGGTTGTGTATAGATTAGTGTGATCAGTGTGATCCTCTGAGACTCACAAGGGAAAGAAAATTTATCGCACACCATACATGCACCCATTTGCTGTTGAATGTGGAATACTTTAGTTTTTGTGATGTAAGGGATGATTGAGGCAGTAGGCTGCAGAATGCAAACTTAATCATCAATATGCATTGAAATTAAAGTGGCAGTTTACGCAGTGCTTAAATGACCTTCCACTTCACAACATTAATTTGCCATTCTCCACCATGACTTTACTAACTTGATGCAGAGCAGCTAAAATGTATCTCCTCATTTTACCTTCCTTATCACAATATGTTTTGGTGAGCTTTTTGACCATTCTGTATATTTAATTGTTATGAAAATATGTTTTGCTGTAGAAATACCTTGCAGACTAGCTTACAGCCAGACACTCAGCACAATGTGTCACCAGGTTAAGTAGATCGGCTTTCTCAAATGCTGCACTGTGAATGCACTGTAAGGCTAAGCAGTGTGAAAACACCGCCTACGCTTAAGGTGCTCATGCATTTCCAACCTTACATATTAAAAAGCTGAATTGCTGCACAAAAGATGAACCTAGAACACCACCGAATGTGTGATTTTCTTCACAGATCACACAGCATTGGTAAAAGCACTGGGATCATCACGGCTGTGTTGCGGTCTGACGGTTTTCCACATTAAATTTCTCCATCAGAAGGCTGTACATGTCAGTACCCAAAAGTTGAGTAACACCAGTGTTGCTTTATCAGACACTGTGAGCAGGTGTATAGTTAATGCAAGGTCAAACTGAAATGGAGGAATTCTGAAAGTGTGTGTGTTCGAAAATGTTTGCATTTCTGTGTGCTAGACATAAGTGTCTGTTTGACGGTGTCATGTCGTGCGTGAATATCTGTCTTTTGGGATACATCATCGACATTTCTGGGTTTTGTTTGGGGATAATTTTGGCTAAGCCTATTTGAC